GGAATCTCCTCCTCTCTGTTTTCCATCCGACCCCAAAACCATTCCCTCCGTTAGGAAACTTCCTCGGGAGCCTGGAGCGGAGCCGATCCTCTCCCTGGATTCTGTTGCCCCCGTGTGTCCCGAGCCTGAAACGCTCCAGGCACGGGCGTTTCCAAGCGACGCGTACACACGCGGGGAGAGCTTTTTTTTCGGGAGTTTAGCCTTGGAAACGGGTGCCTCGGTTGCGGTGTGTGGCAGGGGAGATGTTTGCTCTGATATCCGTGGGTTACCATGATTTCTGCTCCTCGGGCTGTTTTCCCGCCGCGTCCTTTTCCCGAGGGTCGCAACCTGTGGAAGGCAAGTGGGGAGGAGCGATGAGGGGGGATGAAGAGGATGGAGAGCAGGACCTGCAGGGCAAGGAGAAGGCTCGGCTTGGCCTGGGAAACGGGGAGAGGGTGTTGCACCTTCCCCAAAGGCTGATCCAGGAGGATGGGGCCGGCTTGTTCTCCGTGTTCCCGCTCCTGGAGCTGCAGGGCAAGGACAAGGCTCGGCTTAGCCTGGAAAACAGGGAGAGGGTGTTGCACCTTCCCCAAAGGCTGATCCAGGAGGACGGGGCCGGCTTGTTCTCCACCTTCCCAGCTCCCAGGGGACGCAAGGCACGGAGAGAGAAGTTAATTTGCGGGAGGAGATTGAGGTTAAGCTTTAGGAGGGACTTCGGGGGCGGCACGACGCCGGTTTTCAGGAACATCTGCCGGCTCCGGCGCCGGGGGAGCCAAGTAGGTCACCCTTCAAGGTCCCTTCCCAGCCCTACATGGAGGGCTCGAGCTGAGGGGCTGGGAACGACCCCATTTAGAGCCTCCAGCAGGCTGGGAACGTGACTGGGCTGTCACTGAGTCACTCCAGGGTGTCACAGCCCCGGGGAAGCTGCTCCCCATCCGTGGGCAGCCGAGCGAGCGGGAGCGGCGCCGGAGCTGCTCCGCTCCCAACCGAGATCCCTGTGCTCCCTCCCAGGCAAAGCCCACCTGAAAAAAGCCATCATGAAGCACGAGGAGGCCATGAGGATCCACGGGCTGTGCAAGATCCTCAGGAAGATGGACATCCTGCAGGAGGTCCTGTCCTTCGCCCACAAGCGCTCCCTGAGCAAGTACTCGGAGATCGACCACGAGGAGGATTTCTTCGAGACGGGGGATGCCCCAGACATCCACCGTGAGTGGGGGTGTGGGGGAGGGTTTTTTGCATCTGGGGAGGGGGTTTTGGGGGATTTTTCACGGGGTGGGGAAGCTCCACGGTGAGTTCATGGCGTGGCACGGGGGGGTTTCCTTGCCCGTGGGACTGAATGATCTTTAAATTCCCCTCCAACCCGACCCGTTCCAGCATTCTCTGCTGCCTGAGCAGGTCCTGGTTGTTATGGCTCCCACCACCCCTCCTTGGGAGATGTGGAGGTAGAAATTACCCCCACAACCCCCTGAGGTCACCTCCTTTGTGTTTGTTTTCTCTGCCCACCACCAGCCAAAACCCACCAGAAGCCTGAGATCAAACCCCCCAACTTCTCCCAGGTGAAGGTGACCGACCTCTTCCACAGGCTGGTAGGTACAGCTCCAGGGTGGAGGATCTCCCAAGGGATCAGACATTCCCCTCCTCCTCCCCTGCATGCTCTGCTTTGCCTGCTTCCCTTCCTCCCCCAGCTCCTTCTCCCTCTTCCAGGCAGTTTTCCAAGGAGGATGAGCCGCCTCCTCACCGGCAGGAAGAGGGTTGGGAGGGCACAGATCTGTCTCCATGAGACCTAAATGGGTCACAAAGCTCCTCTGGGAGCTGGCACGGGAATTTTGGGGGGCTTTTGACCCAAGGGAGCCCCTGAGAGGAAGGTTTGTGGGGCAGGAGGTGGCAGGAAAATCCCACTGGAGCTTTATCCCGATCCCTTCAGGTCTGTGGGGTCTTGGGGAACAGGTCTGGGGTTCAGGGCTGAGCTTTGGGGTTTCTGTGGGGTCTGGCTGTGCTGTCATTGAGCACCCCATGGAGAGGTCGTGCATTTGTGCCCTTAAACAGATCCAGGGTTATCCTGTGGGAATGCAAAAGCAGGAAAAAGGCAGGGAAACAGGAAAGATATGAGGGAAAACAGCCCCTGGGGAAGAGGTGACCTGGACCACCCCCAGCATCTCCCAGATAAAACCCCTCAACCTCCAGCATCCCTCCTTGGATGATGTTTTTTTTTTTTATTATTCCTGCAAAACACGGAATTTCTTCCCCTGCCCCCTCTCTCCATCCCTGGAATTGCAAGGGGAGAGTTGTTCCTGCACCAAAAGGTGCTTTCCACGTTTCTGCCTCCCCCCAGGGACCCCTGTCGGTCTTCTCTGCCAAAAACAAGTGGTATCCAGCCAGGAGAGTCCACCTGATGAGGGGAGAGAATGGATTTGGGTTCACTCTGAGGGGAGACTCGCCCGTCCTCATCGCCGGCGTCATCCCGGGGGGCTGCGCTGCCGTGAGTATTCCGGGTTCCTGCTCTTCCCAGGCTGGAACTGAGGGGGTTTTTTGAGGGATATCAGGTGATTTTGGGTCTTGAAAGAGCATTGGTGAGCTCAGGTGGAGACTCATCCCTGCAGGATTCCAGCCTGGGTTCCCAAGAGGGCTGATTATTCCAGCTTCCTGCTATTCCCATGCTGGAATTGAGGGTTTTTTTGAGGGATAGCAGATGGTTTTAGATAATCCCAAATTCCTGCTGTTCCCAGGCTGGAACTGAGGGGGGTTTTGAGGGATATCAGGTGATTTTGGGTCTTAAAAGAGCATTGGCGAGCTCAGGTGGAGACTCATCCCTGCAGGATTCCAGCCTGGGTTCCCATGAGGGCTGATTATTCCAGGTTCCTGCTTTTCCCATGCTGGAACTGAGGGGTTTTTGAGGGATACCAGGTGGGTTTAGGTAATCCCAAATTCCTGCTGTTCCCAGGCTGGAACTGAGGGGGGTTTTGAGGGATATCAGGTGATTTTGGGTCTTAAAAGAGCATTGGTGAGCTCAGGTGGAGACTCATCCCTGCAGGATTCCAGCCTGGATTCCCAAGAGGGCTGATTATTCCAAGTTCCTGCTATTCCCATGCTGGGGTTGAGGGGTTTTTGGAGGGATACAAAGTGGTTTTGGGTCTTAGAAGTGCATTGGTGAGCTCATCCCTGCCAGATCCCAGCCTGGATTCTTGGAGGGCTGTGCTGCCGTGAGTATTCCAGGTTCCTGCTCTTCCCAGGCTGGAATTGAGGGTTTTTTTGAGGGATATCAGGTGGTTTTAGGTAATCCCAAATTCCTGCTATTCCCATACTGGAACTGAGGGGGTTTTTGAGGGATTACCAGGTGGTTTTAGGTCTTGGTGAGCTCAGGTGGAGACTCATCCCTGCAGGATTCCAGCCTGGGTTTTCAAGGGGGCTGATTATTCCAGGTTCCTGCTATTCCCAGGCTGGAACTGAGGGGTTTTTTGAGGGATACCAGGTGGTTTTAGGTAATCCCAAATTCCTGCTGTTCCCATGCTGGAATTGAGGGGTTTTTTTGAGGGATACCAGATAAGTTTGGGTCTTAGAAGTGCATTGGTGAGCTCAGGTGGAGACTCATCCCTGCAGGATTCCAGCCTGGGTTCTCAAGGGGGCTGATTATTCCAGGTTCTTGCTATTCCCATGCTGGAACTGAGGGGTTTTTGAGGGATACCAGGTGGGTTTAGGTCTTGGTGGAGACTCATCCCTGCAGGATCCCAGCCTGGGGGTTGCAGGTGGGTGTCAGGGAACAATTGAGATGAATTTTTAGGGAAAAATAGGAAGGTTTGCTCCGATTTTTAACTGCTGGCTGCCCACCCAGTTACCTTATCCCTCATTTTGGGATGTGAGGACGGATGGAACAGGATGGCAAGCCTGTAAAACAGGTTGTTCCACTGAAAACTCACTGTAGGGACCCTGTGGTGTATCAAGAGCAACTTTTTTATCCAGCAGATCCTGGAGAGTCCTGCTGGGATGCCCAAAAGGTCTCCCAGCTCCCTCAGCATCCACCAGCCATCCAGAGGCTGGAATCTCTGTAACAACACAGGATCTTAACAGCAGGATCCCATCCCTTTTTTTGGGAGACCAGAATCTTCTCCAAGACCATTCGTAGTCCACATCAGAGCCAGAGTTGTGTCACCTCCTCACTTTGGAGAAGGGAAGGCTCCAGGGAGACCTTGGAGCCCCTTCCAAGAGAAGGGGGAGAGGGAGAGCTGGAGAGGGAATTTGGGCAAGGGATGGAGGGACAGGACACAGGGAATGGCTTCAAACTGAAACATGGGAACTTTAAAAGGGACATTGGGAAGGAATTCCTGTCTGGGAAGGTGGGGGGGGGGTTGGGCTGGAATTCCCAGAGAATCTGTGGCTCCCCAATCCCTGGAAACGCTCCGGGCCGCACTGAACAGGGCTCGGGGAAGCAACAGAACAACACGGCTTGGAATTCACCAGGAAAACCATTCCACGAGACTCTGGGACGCTCCACGAGCTCCCACTCACCCGTTTTCCTACTTTCCCCGCAGGCAGCCGGGCTGAAGGAGGGCGATTACATCGTCTCGGTGAGCGGCCGGGACTGCCGGTGGGCCAAGCACGCCGAGGTCGTGCAGCTCCTCAAGAGCTGCGGCGCCGACGGCATCGACGTCGCCGTCATCACCCTGCACGGCTCCGAGGCGCCCCGCGCCGTAAGTCACCTCCTTCCTGAACCTCGGGGATTCCACCCCTGCCACTCCCCCCGTGGCCGTGGGAGACCACGCCTTGGTAGATAAGGCGTTAGTTTGGTTGGGGTTAACGGAGAGTTGGGTTTCGAGCCGAAAAAAATCGTTCCTTCGGCACGGCAGGGAGTGTTGCAGGGGTCGGGTTCTGATGGCAGTGGTCGGGGTTTAGTGGCAATATTTGGGGTCTAATGCCAATATTTGGGTTCTAATGACAGGATTTGAGTTCTAGTTACAATATTCAAGTTCTAATGACAATATTCAAGTTCTAATGACAATATTCAAGTTCTAATGACAATATTTGGGTTCTAACGACAATATTTGGGTTTTAGTTACAATGTTTGGGTTTAAAGTATATTATTTACATTCTAATGACAATATTTAGGTTCTAATGACAGTATTTGGGTTCTAATGACAGTATTTGGTTCTAATGCAAATATTTGGATTCTAATTAAAATATTTGGGTTCAAAGTACAATATTTGGGTTCTAATGACAGTATTTGAGTTTTAATGACAATATTCAGGTTCTAATGACAATATTCAGGTTCTAATAGCAATATTTGGGTTTTAATGACAATTATTCAGGTTCTAATGACAATGTGTAGGTTCAAATTACAATATTCAAGTTCTAATGACAGTATCTGGGTTCTAATTACAATATTTGGGCTCTAGTTAGAATATTCAGGTTCTAATGACAGTATTCGGGTTCTAATGACAGTATTCAGGTTCTAATGACAGTATTCAGGTTCTATTGACAATATTTGGGTTCTAGTTAGAATATTCGGGTTCTAATGCCAATATTTGAATTCTAGTTAGAATATTTGGGTTCAAAGTATATTATTTACATTCTAATGACAGTATTTGGGTTCTAATTACAATATTTGGGTTCTAAAGACAATATTTGGGTTCTAATGACAGTATTCAGGTTCCAATGACAATATTCATGTTCTAATGACAATATTTGAGTTCATATTACAATACTTGGGTTCAAATTACAATATTCAAGTTCTAGTGACAGTATTGGGGTTCTAGTGACGCTACTGGTGTTCTAGTTAGAATATTCAGGTTCTAACAACAATATTTGTGTTCTAATGACAATATTTGGGTTCACAGTATATTATTTACATTCCAATGACAGTATTTGGGTTCTAATTACAATATTCATGTTTGATTACAATATTCAGATTCTAATGGCAATATTCAGCTCCTAATGACAGTATTCGGGTTCTAATGGCAATTATTTAGGTTCTAATGACAATATTTGGGTTCTAATGTCAACATTTGGATTCTAATGACAATATTAATTTTCTAATGATAACGTTCAGGTCCCAGTGACAATATTTGGACCTTCCCTCATCCGTCCCACCCACTTCCGAAACCGTCCCTCCCACAGCGGCGCCCTCGCCACACCCCTGAATTTGAGCCAGAGGTCCTAAAAAAACCCGTCTCTTCACCTTCTCTTCCTCTTCCTCATCTCCTCTGGCACAGCCTCACACCTTCTGGAAGGGTTTCGAGGCTCCTGGGTGGCTCTGACTGGTTTTACCAAGCGTTGTGTCTCCTTCTCAGCACGTTTTCCCAGGTGGAAAACCCTTCACCTCTGCCCCACTCTCTCCTCCAGGCTGAGGAGGGGACACAACCGTGGTACAGGTTGGAATTTCATAGCCAGGAATGACAAACAGCATTTTTAGAAACCTTGTGGAGGGGTACCAGCCAGATAAAAGCGCTGAAAAGCTGCACTGAAACCTCTCTAACGTGGATTTTTCCAGCCGTGGGAAGCGTGGGAGTTCCCCGCTGTCGTGGCTCTCACTCCCCTCTCTCCCTCCTTCCCAAGCAGGTGGACAAGAAGGCAGCAGGGATGTCCTCGGGGATGCTGAAGAGCAACAAGGAGAACAGCAGGAAGAGCCTGATGAACAGCAAGAGCCCCAGCACGCTGCTGGTGTGGAGCAAGAAGAGCAAGCGCAGCAAGAAGAGCACCTACAGCGGCGTCCCCTTCACCGCCGTGGGGGACAACGAGGCCATGTACTGAGGGGGGAGGTCACCAGGCTCTCTTGTGTCCCACCAGCTCCAGGACTGGCTGTCTGGGAAGCCTGGGAAGCACTTGGTGGCCTGGCTGGGCTGTGATGATGTGGGTGCTGCCAGGACCACCCCCACACCCCCACTGCTGGATGGATCCTCTCGGAGAAGGACTCATCCATCTCCCAGCTCTGGGCTCCTCCATGTCCCCCCTCAGTGAAACAAGGAGAAAACACTGATTTAGTTGTGATTTTTAATCATTCCTTTCTTGCTCATGGAAGGTTGGGGGGAGCTTTGGTCTGAGGGGGGACCCCGCTTGGCGTCGCCCGCTCGGTGTGAGGAGCCACCAAACCTCAGCCATTAAAGCAGAAGCTGTGACCTCCTTTAGCATCTCCTGGGCTGTCTCTGCAGGGTAGAAGATGCCACCACTGCCAGAGAGCTGCTGGCACAGCTGAATCCTTCAGCAGCTCCCTCTTGGACCCCCCTTTTCCAGGAGGGGGGAACCCCATGGGCGTCAGCAACCTGTGTTGACCCCATCAAGGGGTCGCAGCACCGGGTGGTTCATCCACCTCTTAGAGATCTCCCAGTGAAATTGGGTAAAATTAGGATGGTTTGACCATTTTTAGTGCTTTTTTTTTTTTTT